AATCTAAGTTATGCTTCTTCTTGACTACTGCTTTATTTATGTATTATTTATTTACGTGTATTATATTTATTTGTTACGAACTGTATGGAAGGTCAAGGAGCTCTGGTAGCACAGTGTCTAAGGCATCTGACTGCTAACCAGAAGGTTGGTGGTTCAAACCAACCAGCCACTCCATGGAAGGAAGACCAGGCAATCTACATCCATAAAGATTTACTGCCTCAGAAACCCAATTGGGGTCGGTATGAGTCAGAACTGATTTGATGTCAGTGAGTTTGGCTTTTTTGGTTTACATGGAAGGTCATTATGAATTAGAATCAATTCAACGGCAGTGGGTTTTTGGGTTTATATGAAAGGTTAACTGTTAACGTAACAGTTACAGTAATCTTATATGTATAATTTTCAAACTTCAACTACAATATCTTTTTCAAGATCTTTTTATTCCTAACTTTCTCATTTTATTACCAAAGCAATTGGAGCACTAAATGCCAGCCACTATTTTTGATAGTTTACTTCCTTATCATGTCAGCTGCAGCTTCAAGATCCTAGTACAAACAGGAACTCACTAAAACTCTATCTATCTATCTGCCACAATAGCGTATGTGACATAATGGAGCACCATCTTGAAGTCTTTCCAGCGTGGTTCATTACACAAAGAACTGAAAGTCCCTAACTTTCAGCCCTCCTTTCATATTAAAAATTACAGAATCTTGTTAAGAGACTTGAAAAGTTTGTTGTTAGTTAAGTGTCCAACTTCCCAGGCAGTAAAAAAAAAAAAAAAAAAAAATTCCTAATAATTCATTTGAAATGTATCTGGTCTCTGCTTGAAATCAGATGGCAGAGTGAAAACTCTGGGTCTAAAGTTTATTCTGTGACTAAAGAGATCTGAAATCTAAATACAGCTCCATTATGAATTACGTAGCTTCTTTGGCAAATTATTGTACTTCCCTAGACTTCAGAAATTCAGATGCTTGATTTAGATGATATCCAGAGTTCTTTCCAGTTCCAAATTGCATAATTTTAAGGTCTAGTCTCCCCTGGGAGCTCTGGTAGCATAGTGGCTACGACACTTGACTGCTAACCAGAAGGCTGGCAGTTCAAATCCACCAGCCACTCCTCGGAAGGAAGATGGGACAATCTACTTCCGTAGTGATACTGCCTTGGAAACACAAGGAGGGTCGCTATGAGTTGGGTCCGACTCGACGGCACATGACAACAACAACAAGAAGTCTCCCCTGTGTTAGTTGGCTGCTCGATGCAGTCAACTGAGGACATGGTGCATAGGTGATTCATATAAAGATTCCTTTAAGAAGATGGGGCCTGGGTCAAGGAAAAAGCTATACATTTGTGGATAAAGGAGACAAGTCTCTTCCCTATTAGTTCACTCACTCTCCTCACATTCCCAATAGTACACACCTTTTCTTCAGATTGTTAGATTAAGCCAATCAATCTCAATCTTGAGAGAGAGAGAGAGAGAGAGAGAGAGAGAAAGTAACATGTAATGGGAAATATTGAAACTCTGGAAATCTAATTATGATGAAAACCCCACTATCAACTAGTTCCATGATTTGGGTATGTGCCCAAGAGCATGTCTAGATAACAAGTCTTCTAAAACCACTTCTAATTCTAAAATTATTGATACCCAGTGGCAGCTGCCAAAATTTAAGATCACAAAAATTGTACAGGCATTCTTTATATTTTAAAATGTTTTATGACAAAAATATTTAAAAAGAAAGTAATATATACAATAAAATGTATATGTATACAATACCAACATTCAGTAGGTACTCCTGGATGTGGTAATTCCCTGTTCTGCTTTATCACACACAAAGAGGATTTGTGGAGACTGCTTTTGATGAGAATTAAGTGAGATAATGGGATTTATCTCATTTTCTATTCATTTTTCTTCTTTGTATACTAGCTAAAATCTTTACATTAGCAATCTGTACTTTTGTTTGCATAGCTAAAATAAATTGCCTTAGCTTTAGGAAAAGATAGCACACTACAAAACCAGCAAGTTACTCAACTAAAAAGCTTAATAAGAATCATTGTTTTTGAATCCCAAATATCAAACATTCCTTCTAACAATTCTTTTAGTTTAAAGTAAACATAATTTATTACTACTTGCAAGTTATTATATAATAGTGGAGGTTTACTTAAGGTGGTATAAATATTTCCATAACAAGGCAACATATTCAGGTTCTTTTGGTTTAACTTGGTTGTGAAATATACTCTGGAAAGAAACAGATTTGTGTGGAAACAAATGCTTCTGAAAAATCTTCAATAGCAAAGAAAGCTTTCAGGATATAAATTGTCCTATATCAAATTCAAAATATATTTTATGTTTTAAAAAGAAAGCTTTTCCTTTCTTTATATCTTCTGTAACAAATCCGTAATTTCTAACATCTGAAATTATGTTTTGTTATTATGTACCATTTCCAACAAACAAGGTTCCACTAAGATTATACATGATCTTTCTCTGTAGATACATACACTTATTTGAAAACAAGTTGGTCTACTTGAGTTTTCTTAAAATGCTGGTGTTTTTGTTAGGTGCCGTCAAGTCGGCTCCAACTCATAGCGACCCTAATGCACAACAGAACCAAACACTGCTTGGTCTTGCAGCATCCTCACAATCCTTAACACACACACACACATTTCCTGAGAAGATAATAGGATCATTTGCAATTTAGACATAATTTGGCCTAATGTTTATTTTGTAGGACACCATAAAAATTACCTATTGAAACTAAATATACTAAACAGATTACTGTAGCATAATTTAATACTTTAAATATATTTTCATTAGTGGCTGATTTCCTTCCTGTTTAACTCTCAAATGTTTAAAAAAAAAACCTCAAAACTTCAATACTAATCCATATTTCTATTAATTCATCAATTAGAGGCAAGTAATCTTTTGAAACTAAATCACACTCGAGAAGACTGTAAATTATGACTTTCTTTTTAATATTCACATCTTAATAGAAGATACTACTCAAATTTTAAAGTCTGAAATATTAACTTAGGTTGGTATACATCTTTACTATTTCTATTCTGGGACTATCTAGTGTCATCTCTTTAAATCATTGAAGGAGCTCTGGTGATACATTAAAGCATTCAGCTGCTAAGTAAAAGGTCAGAGGTTCAAATTCACCAGATGCTCTTTGGGAGAAAGATAGATGAGGCAGTCTGCTTCAATAAAGATTTACACTCTTGGAAACCTTATGGGGGAGTTCTACTCTTGACTCAATGGCAGTGGGTTTGGTAGATTATTTGAATTGTTGAGGGCTTTGGCTTTTTTTAACACAATGAGCTTGATTTCTTTACACTGAATGTATCCATGAAGATGATAAGCTCATTGTCACAAGAAGGCCAGGCTAAATTATTATTTATACGCTACTTGTGCAAAACTAAACAGACCCAAAATACAATGTTTGAAAAGGGAGATTTATTTTGAAAGTATAGGAAGTATCTACTCTTTGCTGCCACAACTCTAAAAGTTTAGTAATTAGAGTTTAACAGTGAAATAATGCATATGACAAATTTCTAAGTTTCTAAATTGTCATTGAACAATTATAGGTCAAGATTATATAGAACCATCTCTGAGAGTTAATGTTTTATACAAGCACATAAAATTAGTTAAATATTCAATAATTTCTCTATCATCTCACATACTTTAATGATTTGCAATTCCTAAATTTAATAAAATGCAAAGCTTCTTTTACTAGAAGAAATTAAGTGCAATAGAGGTTGAAATCTAGAACTATATATCTAGAACTATATAAACCTTAAGTAACAAACCTTCATCACAATACTGTAAAGGTAATCTAATAATTTTTTAAAAATCACCTTAAAGATGAATTTACCTGGATTATGTCACTCTATTCTCTTTGAACTTACAAAGCTCCCTAAACTTCCCTTTAATCAAGTTTGTCCTGGGGCTTGTCTAGGCTTGTTCTATAACTACTTTATAGAACTTTAATCTTCAAAAACTTTAAAAACACAATTAACTTAAAAATTCTTTCAGATTTTTGTTTTCTCTTCCATCTATCTATAATAAAGGCAACCTCTGTCCATATCTCTAGGAGATAATTTTATTCCATTCAATATATATTGAGTGTTGTGTTTGAATCAGGGATTTTTGAAACAGAGCCTTGGCCTAAAACAATAATAATTTCTCATTTATAAATATTTTTATATTCCTCCTAATGTAATAATTCAGTTTATTAATCTCTTTACTTTCATTATCTAATCAATGTACTTTTACAGATGGATTAACTGAGACTTGGAGATATCCAGCCCAATTGCCAAAGCAATGCTCACATAACTATTAAATGGAGTAACTAATTCAAACCTAGGAGCTCTGGTAGCATAGTGGCTAAAAGCACTTGACTGCTAACCAGAAGGCTGGCGGTTCAAACCCACCAGCCACTCCTCGGAAGGAAGGTTGGGCAATCCTACTTCGGTAGTGATACTGCCTCGGAAACCCAAGGAGGGGTCGCTATGAGTCGGGGCCGACTCGACAGCACACAACAACAACAACAATTCAAACCTAGGTTGTCTGACTCTAAAGTCCATAAACTATCATCCTCAAACCACAGATTCAAAACTTCATTCCAGATCAAACAAACCATAATCTCCAAGAGTCACGCCCCAAAGTTTGTTGAAGCCAGTGGTTTGGGAACCACTGCAGCAGTACAACACTCCTTACCAAACTGCTTTTGTTTCTGTCAGTCAGTCATTTACTGAAGCTTCCCTACTAGATAGTGCATGATAGACGATACTGGGAAGGACTCAAAGGAAACAGAAAACACGGCTCTTGCCCTTGAGAAACTTACAACTTAGAACTTCTTTACACTTTATTAATCAGTTTTGTCTCTGTTGTTGTTAGTTGTCTGTCAAGTCAATTCTGACTCATGGAGACCACACATGTGCAGAATAGAACTGCTCATAGGGTTTTCAAGGTTGTGACCTCTCTTTCAAACACACACAAAATTACTAACCTTCCACATTCATGGCTTTTCTCAGAACCTGAAGTTTCTTCTGTCTCTCTCGGATTCGGTCCAGAACATTTGATATTGCTGAAGAGGTGGGCAATTCTCGCGTGTACATTGGGTCCATTTTCTGAGGGCCAAAGATATCCAGGGCTATAGTTCCATCTGAGTATCTTGCCTCCTTTCTTCTAGGAGCCGTTGAACTCCGCACTGTTACTGCCTCAGGGAGACAGTGTCGGTATCTGCCAGTCTCTCCAGCAGAAGAATCTTTGTCAGTTGTGCAAAGCAAGTCCATGGATGAAGCCCAAATCTTCTTCTTGGGAAGTACATCAATACTTGAGGTGATTTTCTTCTCTGTACTGGTTTTAAACTGGTAAGGGGAGCAGGTATTTTCAGAATTTTCATGTCCAGAATTATTATCTGATGAAATATCCTTGAAATAATCTTCCTCATCTTGCGTATCTCTGATGGACAGAAATCCCATAGATTTACTAAGCCCTTTGTTAAGAAAAGTCTGATGAGAGAATGGAGACTTGTGTATATCTAGTACATCAGAAGTGGAGCTTCTTCCTGAAATGATAAGAATCTATCATGTATGCACAGAATTTTTAGAAAATAAACTGAAGCGTAATCTCACTCCTGATAATGAGAGTAGTGACAATTTTCTAAATGGAGAATCAGAGATGAAATGGGATGGTGGTGGCAGTAATGGAAAGAGATGTTATGTCTGAGTAACTCTGCAGTCCAATGTCTCTTTTCTAATAAAATCAGTAATATTGAATTTAGTTTTTAAATAGTATTGTTTTACATTCATGAAAGTTAATTTTTTTTTTGTTGTAAAAATAGATAAAAGTTTCTGAAATTATCCAGTTTGATAAGATATTAATTATCTATGAAGTGGTTTGACTGAACAATAGAGTGTCTAGTGCACTCCTTTAACTTCTAAAGGTATAGATTAGTTGTTGTTGCTGTTGTACTCCTTTAACTTCTAAAGGTATAGATCAGTTAATGTATTAAAATTCAATATAAAGGCCTGGTACATTTGGTCTTTTATTTAAATATGCTTAGAGAAGAAACATAGGTTGCCATATACTGGAACAAAAAAAAGACTGTGGAATTTTGAATCCTTAAGCACTTATCTTAATCCTTAAGATAAGTTCCCAGATAATTTGTTTGTGTTTAAAATATGTTATGTAAGAAACCATATTTATTTCCACAACAGACCATCCTATACTAAAATAATGTTTTCTCCTTTAGAACATAATGTATCAATATTAGTCAAATGGAATAAAGCACCAATTCTTATGTATTGTTTAGTCCCTGATACAGTTAAAAACCAGATCTAATTATTTTTTTTAAAGCAACAGTCTGTACATTAATTTCATATACACCAAAAATGTTCCCTCAGAAAATTCTGTGAATCTATAGGTTAAATAACAAAAAGCAAATATGGCTGCACCAGTGAAATAAGAAATGTAGAAAATACTTTATAGGTACTAACCTAATAGTCCATAAACACTCAAGATTTCTTGTACTACCACTGTGAACTCTTTTTGATAACCTATTTGCTATGGATATAATATAAAATAATAACGAAAACTTTCCTAGTAATAATAAACTGCTTTTTCAGTCATTTGAAGTGGTCAATTGCCTCTTTGACATATCAGGTAAAAAAAAGCTTAAGTTTTAAATCTATTACCATAAAATTTACCTTAAGAAAGGTTAACTCATTTCAGAATGACAACAAATAATTTGCTTATTTGAGAATTAGATCCAAACACGGTGCTTTTCTTGAACTTCCTCCTGAACATGAATCCACATTAATGCAAATAAGAATAACAAACACATTGGTGCATCTCATATAAAGAACACTTAGAAATACACCACACCACAACCAGCCATGTGATCATCATAGACTGTAGCTTCTAAGCCAATTTTTAAAAATTGACACAATGCTGTTATGGATTGAATTGCATCCCCCCAAAATATGTGTTATAAATTCTAACCTCTATGTCTACAGTGGGAGCTCTAAGGCACTTGACTGCTAACCAGAAGGCTGGCAGTTCAAACCCACCAGCCACTCCTCAGAAGGAAGACTGGGTGATCTACTTCCACAGTACTGCCTCGGAAACCCAAGGAGGGGTTGCTGAGTCAGAGATGAGTCTATGGGACATAACAACAACAACAACAACAACATACCTACAGTTATAATCCCACTTGGGAATGGGTTGCCCTTGTTATGTTAATGAAGAAGGTTAGTGTAGGGTGTATCTTGAGCCAATCTCTTTTGAGATGTAAGAAAGATTAAACAAGCAAGAGAGCCAACAGAGATGGGAGAACAGAGATGCCAAGCCACATGAAGATCACTCAGGAGCAGAAGCTCAAAGAGACAAAGACCTTCCTTCTGAGTCAACAGAAAGAAAGTCTTCTTCTAGAGCTTATAACCTGGATTTGGACTTCCAGCCTTCTGAACTGTGAGAAAATAAATTTGTTTTTTAAAGTCACCTATTTGTACTATTTCTATTACAGCAGCACAAGATAACTAAGGCCAAATTTAGTACCAAGAAGTGGGGGTGCTGCTCTAACAAATACCTACAATGTGGAAGTGGTTTTGGTATTGAGTAATGGATAGAGATTGGAAGAGTTTTAAAGCACATAATAATAAAAGCCTAGATTGTCTTGAAGAGATTGTTAATAGAATTATGGATATCAATTCTGGTGAGGGCTCAGAAGAAAGTGAAGAGAGCTATAAAGTCTCTTTTGTCTTAGAGAATATGCTGGTCACAACATAATGTTACTAGAAATGTGGATGTTAAATATTCTTCTGGTGAGGCTTTAAAAGGAAATAATGAACACGTGACTGGACAATGGAGAAAGAGTGATGCTTTATATGCAGTGGTAAGGATCTTGTCTGAATTATGTTCACATGTTTAGTAGAAGGTAGAACTTTCAAGTGGTGAACTTGGATATGTGGCTGATGAGATTTATAAGCAAGATCATAAATAGGCCTCATGATTTCTCCTTGCCACTTACAGTAAAATGGAAGAGGAAAGAGATGGACTTAAAAATGAACTGTGCAAAATGAAAACAAAACTTAAAGATTTGGAAAATTCTGTTCTATGTCCTAGAATTTTCACCAACGACATGGCTACACAATCTTTTGTTAAAAAGATTAAGCCTTTGGCTGATGGATTTAACCAACTACCACAGCAGAACTTAGACTGAAGGGAACAGAGAAAGAATGCTATCTGCCTTTTGGATTCTACAGAAATCAGGCCACAGAAGCTGTTAAGAAAGGTTAACTCAAAAATCCATAAGCTGTTGTCATCCAAGAAAAGAACCATCCCTGAAGCAGCTTGGAGATCAGAATCACTGAAAAGAATACAGGAAGTGGAGCTGCCCCAGTTTCAAAGGGTGGGGTCATGCATGGCTTCTCGATCTTAAAGGGTGGGGACCATATAGCCTCTAGGGTGTCAAAGGCTGGAGTCTGAGGTTTCAAACAGTCAGATCTTCACTAACTCAGTTCCAGACTGTGTGGATGCCATTCAGTTTGGCCAAGAGAATGGGGCTGCTGACCAAAGCTTAAGGCATGGGGCAGAAGAGGCAGAAGAATAGGGCCTGCTGGGGCCAAGGAGATAGGATTGCCACTTAAGATGATTAGGAGAATAACATACTATACAAAACATTGTTCCACCTCCTACTTTGGCGAGTAGCAACTGGGATCTTAAAAGCTAGCAAGCTGCCATCTAGATGCAACAATGGGTGTCTCCTCGTCAAGAAGAAAGAAGAAAACCAAATGAATGGAAACAATCAGTCCTAGCGACTGGTACACCATCTGATCTGCAACCTATACAACTATGAGACCAGAAGAACTAGATGGTGCCTGGCTACCAATGTCATCCACTTGGAAGGGATGTAGGAGATCCTGCATAGAGAGGGAGAACAATGTGGAACAAAACTCAAAATCATTTGGAGGCAAAAAAAAAAAAAAGAAGGTGGGGACCAGGTTTGCTGGTCCAATAGAGCCTGGTGAAACCACTGAGACTATGGCCCCTAGCTGCCCTTCAGGTCTGGAATTGAACCCACACCTGTGGTTTCCAGCCAAACAAAGTACAGGCAAGTGAGTTAAACATTTACCTCAAGTAGACACACACCCTGGAGAGAACAATCATGGGAGAAGGAAGGGCTGCTTATGCACAGGGAAACAGCTCAGGGCGCAGAAGAGTATGGAGGGATGGACACTGGGAAGAGGTAGCTATGGGGAGGAAGTGGGAGGGGAGCTGTTGTATTGTAAATTTTGGTCAATGACATGAGACAAAGTATATGTGAACTGCTGTATGAAAAGTGAATTTGCTCTGTAAATCTTCACCCAAATCAAAATAAAATAAAAAAATAAAATAAAATAAAATATTAGGAGAATGGGGGTGCACAAAGCCAAGGGACAAGAACTGACATCCCAGTGGGTTGGAAGGCAGAGCTGAAGCTCAGGGCTAAGGAGCCTCCACCCAGAATCTAGAGAGGGTGGCCAACAGCCAGAGGTCTCAGAGAACCGAGGAATATTTTCAAGCCTTAAGAGCTAATGTAAATTGTTCTGCTGGATTTTGGACTTGCCACTCTTCGGAAGGAGGTTCAGCAATCTACTTCTGTAGTGATACCACCTCGGAAACCCAAAGAGGGGTCACTATGAGTCAGGTCCAACTTGATGGCAGTGAGTTTGTTTTTTCAGTTTTTTGGGGTCTCTTATCCCTTCCTCCCTCCAATTTCTCTCATCGTAAAGGAAATGTCTATGCTGTACGAATTCCAACGTTACACTTTGGAAACAGGTAACTTGTCTAGATTTCACAGGTTCACAGGTGAAGAGGAATTATGCCCAGGATGAAATATGCCTAAAGTATCACCCATATTTGATTTAGATGCTTCAGAAGATGAGATTTTGGACTTGAAGTTGATTAACGACTTTTGAGATGATGTGATGGGGTAAATGTGTTTGCAATGTGGGAAGGACATGAATTTTGGGGGGCCAAAGGGTGGAATGTTATAAGTTGAATTGTGTCCCCAAAAACTGTGTTGTAAATCCTGACTTCTATGTCTGGTTATAATCCCTTCCGGGAATAGGCTGTCTTTGTTATGTTAATGAACAAGATTAATGTACTGCAGCGTGTCTTGAACCCATCTCTTTTGGGATATAGAAGAGATCAACAAGCAAAAGAGCAGGTAGAGATGGGGCAAGAAAGAGGACAAGCCACATGAAGAATGCCCAGGAACAAGGACTTTCCTCCAGAGCCAACAGAGACAGAAAGCCTTGCCCTAGAGCCAGCACCCTGCTTAGGCTCCTAAACTGTGAGAAATAAATTTGCTCAAGTCACCCACTTGTGGCATTTCTGTCATAGAAGCACTAAGGAACTAAGACAAATACATTAGATGATAAATAAGCATGGAAGGGATTATGGATCATACCACCACAAATAAACTCAACCATCTGTCTTCTTTTAGTATCTTGACTATCAACAAGTAGCTACAACTTATTGGAAAAAATCAAACAACTGGGTATTTTGATAGCACTTTAAATT